CGGGCCAGGGCTCGCCCCAGAGGAGCCAGGGGGGGTCGCCCCAGACGCAGCGCCAGCAGCCCCCCCCACAGCAGCAGCAGCAGCAGCAGCAGAGACCTGCGGGGGCGCCAGGGCCGAAGCCAGGGGGTGGGCAGCCCCAGCAGAGACCCCCGCAGCAGCGCCAGCAGGGCCAGTCCACCCGGCAGCCGGGCCAGGGGGGCCCCCAGCCCCCCCAGCAGCAGCAGAGGCCTCCCCCCCAGCAGGGGCCCCCTCCCCAGCAGGGCCGGCCCGTGGCCCCCACCACCCAGCAGCCCCGGGCCTCCGCCCAGGGCCAGGGGGGCCCGCTGGGGCTGGCCGGGCCCGGAGGGCGACCCCCTATGCAGCAGAAGCCACAACCCCCCCAGAAGCCCAGCCAGGACCACCCCAGCATGGGCATGGGCGGACCCCCGCAGCTGAAGTAAGACACTCCTTTCGCTCGTCTCCTCTCCGTCTCCTCTCCGTCTCCATCTCCATCTCCTCTCCGTCTCCTCTCCGTCTCCGTGTCCCTGGGCCTGGATGCACAATCGGCAGTAACAGCGCCAGACCGGGGTACACCACACAGCACTTCCTCAAGGGGGCGCTCAGCCGGTCCTGCACAGCTGACCAGCAGGTCACAGGCAGGCCGGAGTGAGGTCAGCAGCCCCTTACAGGAGACCGTGTGGGGGCAGGTAGTGACCAGTAGTCTGGTCCTCACGTGTCCCCCTCGAGAGTTAAACACCCTGCAGGGCAATCGACCTCTCGATTCTTTCATATTTGATTTGTTTCCAGACGGCAATATGTAGCATAGTGCTGCAGTCCTAACAGGAAATATGCGGCTCTGACGCTGTACTAAAGGTTGTGCCTCCAGGCCCATGAGTCTCGTCTCTATTGTGGTTAAATTATCCTTGGCAGTATACTAAAATTACTGCACTGAGACCAAGGCAAGGGTTTCTTTAGACACAGAAAAGAATTACGTAAAGGCACAGATTCAATGCCAAGTCATGTGGGGTCTTTTCTTTTTAAGAATGTGGAAAAATAAAAATGAAATGAATGGGTGGATTGCGATCAAGGTAAGGCTCTTTTGCTTGTGATACTGGGGGGTCACTGCCATGTGAGTCAGACTGACAGCACGCTCCACCAGAACGGGTTCTGGCTCCTCGCACTGACATGCTCGTGTAGCATCACTTCGGGCTGCAATCGCGCAGAAGTTTAAACTCTGGGCCTCTCTCGGTGAGCGTCACTGTGGAGCTCTTTAGACAGGGCACAGAGTCCTGCAGAGGACAGCAGGGGGACCACACAATGACGGGACACATTCTGACCGGCAGTCTGGGGGAGTGGAGCTCTAAGATGGGTTAGAAACTGGTTTTCATTTTTACGATAAAAATCTGTTTATGAACACAGGGTGGAGAGGGTACAGAGTATATATCATACAGAGCTGTTTCCTGGGTTAAACATTTAATTTTCTACTTGTGATTTCAAATTCTTGACAGAACATTTGCATTTTCTGCTCACGAATATCAGAATGTGTTTCGTAGAACAGAAGTCACAGTCGGTTTCAAGACTTCTTTAACATCGCCAATATGAGAGTCTAAGCTTTTATGTGCCATTCATGTGCCACATCGCGAATCGCCCAAAACAAAGGAGAACCCTGAAAAGAGGAAGTGTAAAGCCTGGCTGACCTCTCCTGGAGTTCAGGAGGTCACCGCCGGCCCGTGACCCTCAGCTGCATCTCCGCTGTGGCAGGCCTGTCACGTGCAGTGGTCTTGCCCAACGCGGCTCTGCGGACCAGGGCAGCCAGCTGGCGAGGTGTTGCCCAACCGGGCGTGAGCAGGAAACCCCGGGCAGGGCACGGGCGCAGGGTGTTGCATCAGGGGTGCGTGGGCAGCACGGTCACGTCCTGTTCCTCATCACCTCCATCGAGCGAAGAGCCGGCCGGGCTGGGACAGCTGTGCATGAGTGCGACTCGCCTTGTGCACAGTGGTGCAGTCGTGCGCATGTAGCCTCTCCTCCCACCCTTCTGTCTGTCTCCATCTCTCCCACATACACAGAAATATGTGAGCTCCCCCCAGAAACACACGGCTCCCCGAACCTCCCGTAACCACAGTGGGAAAGTCTGCCTCCTATAGGTCTCCCAGCGCCATTTCCACAACTGCAGCTCCCTTCCCCTGAGTGTGCTGTGTGTCAGTGCAGACCGGCCCTCTTAGTCTTATTGAATAAGGTGCAAGAGCAGTAAATCTTATTAAAAACCACCCCACCCCACCCCCGCGCCCTCAGAGAGGAGGTCAGGTGGGTGGCCTTTCGTCACTCCCCTGCCTCAGCCCCCCCACTCCCGGGTCTCTGCATGACTTTAATAGTCTTTTCCTCTCCTCTATCACCATTCTCCTCTCTTGTAGCAAATCCCAGTCTCTTACCAATGCCTTCAACATTCCAGAAACTTCAGCGGCGCCCCGTTCCAGCCTTAGCCAGGACGAGGTGAAGGCCGAGACCATCCGCAACCTGCGCAAGTCCTTCGCCAGCCTCTTTTCAGACTGAGCCAACCAGAACCCCGACACCCCTCCCCCCCCACCCTGGGGACTCTCGGACTCCACTTCCAGTCACCCTGACAACACAGCCTGATCCCCGGACTCCTGCTCCTCCCCCGCCCCGGCACCTGGAGACGAGTGGGAGACCCGAACCCAGGGAGCCCTCCGCGAGGAGGAAGCCACCTGCACGCCCACGCCCCTCAGCTCCCCGTCCGTCTCTCTGGATTCTCCTGAAGAGGGCGCCACACACGCTGCGCTCCGAACACAAGCATGTTTTCGTCCTGTTCATTTGCATGTCCGCGGTGTGTGGAATCACTCTGCCCTCCATCTGACCTGGACAGACAGTGCTGGTGCTCATGGCCCCATTAGCCATCCTGTCAGCCAATGGCCTTGCAGAACCCTCCCCGTCAGGCATCCCGTCAGCCAATGGCCTTGCAGAACCCTCCCCGTCAGGCATCCCGTCAGCCAATGGCCTTGCAGAACCCTCCCCGTCAGGCATCCCGTCAGCCAATGGCCTTGCAGAACCCTCCCAGTCAGGCATCCTGTCAGCCAGTGGCCTTGCAGCACCCTCCCCTCAGGTGCACAGTCAGCTCTGCAAGCAGGAACGTCTTCGTTTCTGTAATGGAAACAGCACCCATGTACTTTACAGAAAACCTTCACGTGTCTTTTCAAGAGAAGATGCCCATGAAACCATTACCCTGCTGGGTGTAGATAACTTCCTGATCTTGCAAAAATGTACCTGCAGATTATAACAAAGGCCTGGCTTTCTTCTTCAGTCCCCACCTATCGCTGATTTCCCAGTGGAGAGATCCCCCTTTGGGAATCGATAGGGACCGATGCCTCCTGCCCGCACTGTTCCAATCCGATCAGTATGGATGTCCGCTGTCCTGCAGCTCTGTGTGGCGGGATTCCTCAGGCCTGATGCGGGGGTCTCACTGTGGCCGGTTGAGAGGCCTAGTTTGCCTTTGATCTGAAACCTCCCTTGAGTGTCAGTGGCTGAACAGGACTGAGCCTGACGTTCTCAGTCACAGCCGCAGCACTGCCTGTCCCCAGAAGAGCAGGGCCCCACGCCCCATGCGGCGGACCGTAACCTCGTCGTCACACTCAGTGGTTCCTGTAGAACGTCTGTGTTGTTACTGTGGATATAGTGTTGCTGCTCCCACTTCCTCCCTCCTCCCCAGTCTCTCCCCGTTTCTCTTCAGATCCGAGCCCTGAAACTGGAGTTCAGCCCCTGAAACTGGAAAAGCCAGCTTGTGTGTTTGTCTCAGGGATACCCCGGACTGGGTAGCTTGTTTCCTCCCTCGTCTTATTCATGCAGTAGTCCTCCTGGGCCACAGGGGGTGGTGTGGAGAATACTGGAAGGGCCTTTGCTGGCTCAGCACTCAGGATCTGCAGGAAATGTCCGGCAGGACTGGAAATGTGCTCTGATGGAAACTCCTAGCTGATTTTAACACAGTCTCTCGTACCTCTCTCCTACCTGTCGGAGGGCTATGGCTTTCGCTTGTGCCGAATGGGTGCCGTATGAAGGACCTGTTCCAGCCTGGGTGAGGGCATGAAAGTGCATACGCCATTCCAGTCCAACCACTGCTCCAGCAAGAGCTGGTTTCTCATGCAGAAGATACTATCTTTTCTCTGCTTCCTGCCAAGGTTGAGCATACTGGTTACAGCTGGTAATTAATACATTTCTTGTAAAATATACACAAATTCTGTCAAGACTGGAAGGAAAGGCAGCCTTACGACAGTACAGTCGGTGTACTAGTTTTCAAACCCAGCCATCTTTAACAGCTGAGCAGGAAATCAGTGACTGACCATGCTCTGATTGGCTAGGGTGTCTAACTGGCCACACTCTGATTGGCTACTGTTTCTTAATGGCCACTCTCTGATTGGCTAGTGTCTCCAGTTTTAGGGCTCCCTGAACTATGCCAAGTATGTTATCCCCAGTCCCACCCCCCCTCCCCGGGCCCCTTGTGGCCTGTTGTAGAAGTTACTCCAGCTTCACTCTCGTGTCTCGGTTAACCCTGCCCATCCTTGCCAGCCCAGCCCGTAGTAACCAGCTCTTCCCTTCTCCTTGGGGCCAGAATTGGCATCAACACAGATGGACCCCCAGTCTGCAGTTTGGTGGTGTTTACTGTGTACTGGTCTGAAATCGATCTTCAACTGAATTGGCTCACTGTCTGTATCATTATAACGCTAATTGACCAGGCCTGCAAAAGTTAAATCCTGAGACTTCTTAAAGACCTGGGCCGAGCTTGGAGAATCACCCAGCATAATCCAAATACCGGTGAGATTCCAGGGGCTAAAGAAACACTGTCCTGACATCTGAAGATTGAAACAGAAAATGCTTTGATTTTTGTCTTTTGTATTACAGCAGAGAAATTCTTCAAAGCTTTTAGCAAGGTTTAGAAAATCAACTGTCTGCGAAGACCGATCCCAAAGCATTGTGCAACCACAGTGGAGAATCTTCCTTCCTTGTCACAGTTCCTTTTCTTATATCTGATGCTCAGAGAGGACTTTGCAGAATAGGAGCCTTGCGAAATCAGCAGCTGAGGCTGTAGATCTATATGCAAGCGGCACAGTGTTAATGTCATTCTGACAGGTCAGGAGCAGGTCACTGCGCTGCGAGCCTGTCAGTGCCACAGTGGACACAATATGCAATCTAGAAATCTGGGTTTCAATCTTTTTTCTTTTTTTTCTTTAGTGTTTCATTTACATTTGTATGTGGAACGATTTAGAAAGACATTTAGGTTATATACAGACTCTCCTCTTAAAATCAGACTAAAACACATCCTGGAGCGCTCTTGACATCCGCAGTGCTCTGTGACAGCTGCTGCTCTCTCTGGGAACGGCTGGCACTGCGACAGCAGCCCTCTGCATTTCAAACTCAATTACGGCACTCTGAAAGGACTGCAAGAAACTGTTTCCACGCTTTTCTCAAAATATTTAGTTTTAATATGTTGTCATAAATACAAAAACCTCAGAACTGCAAGGATGGTAGCTGCTTGAGAGCCTATATGGTTCTCAAATGGGCTGTTGTGGTTTTTGAGTTGTGCGAAGTCCAAACCAGCTCCAAATCCAGAATCCCGATCCAAATACTGAAGAGATTCCAGGGTCTAAAGAAACACTGTCTTGGAATCTGAAGATCAGACCAGAAAATGCTTTGATTTGTCTTTTATATTACAGTAGAGAAATTCTTCAAAGCTTTAATCAAGGTTGAAAAACAGCTCTACGCTAAAACGAATCCTTAAGCACTGTGCAACCACAGTGGAGAAACTCCCTGCGCTGGTCTGACACGAATGGATTCTAATGCAACCTTTTCACATCTCTCGTCCTCCAAGGAGCTGATATTGTCACCGTGCCGCCCCTCTCACCCTGTGGGTTACATGTTTAGATGCTTCTTCAGTCAAATTCTGCCCCCAGCCCCCATGACCCCATGACCCCCCAGAATGCACCTGTGCAGCTGTAAATAAACCCACATCCTTTGTGCATCCAGAGTGATCCCTTGTGAGTAAAGTGCATACACCATGTATAAGTTGTACCGTAAACTGTAAAACCAAATAAAAGTATTGTACAGTTAGTGGTTACTATGATGATGAAATTGTGAAGCTTCTGTCTCTCTTTTAAAAGAAACTTTTATTTTCCCTGTGCCTGTGGTTCTGTCCGTGTGTCGATGAATCCTTGCTGTATATTTTGTACTGTTTTATTTGTTAGTGCTGATTTATGTCGGAGTCTTCTGACGCTTACCAAAACAACTGCAGAAAACACCAGACAAAAGCTGGCTTTGGTTTTTGTCTTCTGCACTGGAAAAATCAAATGTCTTCGCTCGCTGGCTGCTAGGTAGGTACTGTTCCAGTTGGAGAGAGAAAAAAAAACTGTTCAGATTGTGCAAAGTATCCGGATTCTTTCTGGATCCAGATTTCCAAGAACAGGTAGAGGTGTTAACCTCTGTCTTCTTTTCTGGAGCCACCTGGGAATGGTGTGCTCACCTGCTGGATTCCCATAAGGAAATCAGCCATGCAAAGACAGCGGGTAGGCAGGTCTCCCAGCTGGGCTGCTGTTGCACATGAAGGGATCGACACTTGCAGCCTGCAGTGCAGCTACAGAGACTGGACATTGCACAGAAGTGAGAGTGATTTTTACTTAAAACCAACATTCCACTGTTCTTGATAGGGAGTGATAAGTTTTTTTTATATTTATCTTTTCCTTTGAAGATTTACAAAAACGTTTCTTGTCATTGTTTTTTAGTGACTTTAACAAGATGTCTTTATTTTTTTCAGTGTGCTGACTGAGCTCTGAATGTACACCTCTGTAGTGCAATATGCTGTTCTGAATTCTGGAGCTGTTTGTCCTTGACACCCTGTGTATTGTATAAAGCCTATGATTTAAAAAAAAGGTAAAAAAAGAATTAAAAATTAACAGAATTGTAAACCATCACTGAGTTACTGTGACCAAGCTGTTTAGGAAATAATTGTACAAACACGTGTCTTTGATGTGATTGTAGGTGTGACAACTAAATATAAAAAAATCTATGATATTATTGTGCTATTGAAATGAAGAGACGATAAATAAAGTCTATAATTATATCTTAAACATGACTAGATCTCTGTTTTAATGTTTCCTGCTTGTCTTGAACATTTTGTGTCTTTCACAAGAAAATGACATTTTTGTGCAAAATTAAAATTCAGAGGCTGAAAAAATCCTTCACTGCGAAGAGGAGGTTTTTTTAACTCCTAGAAGATTTTGCAATCGCTTTTCAATGTTTTTGACTATTGCTTAAAAATGTGATTTTATTAAACAAGTCATAAGCGATAAATCTGAAATTTATTGACTCAAATAAATTAGCGGTAGTTTTTTAAAAAAAGGGACACCTTCCCATACCGGGAGTCGAACCCGGGCCGCCTGGGTGAAAACCAGGAATCCTAACCGCTAGACCATATGGGAAACTGGCGTCAGCTTTTGTTTTGGTGCTGGATTGGCTTTAATATCTAATGCCAGTAAAAGCGTCAGCACAGGTCAATCCAGCAATTCAGACAGCACCGATGGATGGAATTCTGAGTCAAAATTAGAAATAAGTATATAAACGGAAACACGCAAATATTTATATATGAGTTTGGCTATAAACACGTTGTAATGTATTTAAACAGAGGAGTCCTCAACGCGTTTGCTGTGACGTCAGGCGCACGCCTCGGGGTGGCGCACGCCAGCTGATTCGCCGAGCCCCCGGACCAATGGCAGGGCCCGCTACGTCACAGGCTGCCGCCTTGCCAAGAGCGCAGCTGCGCCCTCCCTCTCGCAGCTCCTCGGTAGCTCGCCGTGATCGTATAGTGGTCAGTACTTTGCGTTGTGGCCGCAACAACCCCGGTTCGAATCCGGGTCACGGCAGGTGTAAACCTGGCACGGCAGGGGAGTTCTCTTTTTCTATCATTTATTTTTTAATTTTATTTAAAAATAAAATGTTATATTTAAGAGTGTATTTTAAAATTTGAGTATACTCGAAGCAGACATTGAATTAACTGAACACATTTTTGTCTCATGTCACCGTTCACCGCCTTTCTGGCACTGCTTGTTCGGGGCTATAATACAAAAGTCCTATTCGTGTACATCTCATTTTTACAGATATTGTTCTCGGTGTCTCGAATCCAAACAAAGAAGTCCGTATAATGATAACGTTTATTCTCTTGTTTGCAAACATTTACATACACACGTGTAGAGTAAAAAATAATCTTATAAGCTTTAAAGAATTTTCTAACTCATTCAAGCTATACTGTAAAGCACTGAAAATATTAAAAAATAAGCCTGGTGAGTTTTTCTACATAAATGTCTTTTAGCATATAAACTGATTTAATGTAACCAATAACACCGCATGAGCTCTGTACTGTGGACAAAGTAGGCTTTTTTTTCATTTTTTCGCCTCGAATCATTCGCTTGTTGCTACATTGTTGTGTCGTGTTGTGATATCTGTATATCGTTATGTATATACCCCTTTTATTTTCCCTTTTTGTATTTAAATAAAAATTAAAAAACTGGCACGAATCGAGCTAATTTTTGTCCTGTGCTATTTTATTATTAACTCATAAGGCGGAAGGCTGTATCAAGGGCGACAAACAGTGGATGCAGTTAGAACAGCACAACAGGCTTTGAAAGGGATAAAAAGCAGCCGTGCTCGGGGGCAGTGCGGGAGCCGGGAGCCCGCCGGCAGGGCCTGGGTCGCTCAGCCCAGCCGACGGGGGGCTCAGGCCGAGCTGCTGCTCTTCACGCGTCTGCGAGGGGTTCTGATCGTCTCCTCGGTAGCTCGCCGTGATCGTATAGTGGTCAGTACTTTGCGTTGTGGCCGCAACAACCCCGGTTCGAATCCGGGTCACGGCAGGATCCGAGATCCTTCACGGTGTAGAGGAGCTGCTTTTTCTTGTCAACCCCCAATTCGTTTCTGCAATCGCCTTTCAATGTTTTTGACGATTGCTTCAAAATGTGATTTTATTAAACAAGTCATAAGTGATGACTCAAATCTCAAATTTATGAAATCAAATAAACCGGCAAAAAAAAAAAAGACACACATTCCCATACCGGGAGTCGAACCCGGGCCGCCTGGGTGAAAACCAGGAATCCTAACCGCTAGACCATATGGGACTGTCGTGAACATGTTGGTTCTGTTGAGGGTTGTGCCATCAGTTCAGTGAAACTCTTCACCGCCTCTGACTGGGCGCACAGGAGCGCTCTTCCATGGTGTCTGTCTGCAGGAAGTATATGTGCAATCTTTATTAAAACAGCACCAGAATATTCAGAATATTACGTCTTTAAAAACAAGATAAAAATAAACTCAATTTTATAATCGTGAGGCTTAATCGTTTTTCCCCCGTTTCTTCTTATTTCTTCGGTTTACTTGATATAACATAAAGCTCACAGTAATGTCCTTGTCACTCCGTTTTGTTCCCATGAGGCCGCGGACCGGCCGCAGTCAGTTACGCGGCTCGCTATTGGCTGCCGAGACGGGCCAATGAGAGGCGGCGTATGAGCGAGGTCCGGATGCCCATGTGAGGTTGTGCTGCCCGGCTGTGAAGATGGTGAGTGAGCTGTTGGTTAAAATTATCGCTCTGAAAGTTTTGTTTTAACAGCCGGATTGTTTTTGCTCTGTGCTGGGCTCTGACAGAGTGTGGAAATAGAGACGCTTTACGCAGGAGCCGGTACCTAACGTACAACTTAATGAGAGGCGTTCGGAGTTGTAAACAGAGCCTGTAGATGTAGATTACGATAATTTGAGTGGCGGAAAAAAAGTTTTAAAAAATCTCAGAAGTTAATAGGACGCTCTTTTCCGTCCAAGAAGAAAGTAACGCATGAGCCTAACCTAGTTGTGGAAACCGTTGCTGGTTTAGATGCTGCTCAGTTGATTCAAAACCGTTTCCAAACTGACCCAGGTCTATCCTGAGAACCCAGTTCTTTTCTGTAGCGAGCAGAGAATATAGAGTCCAACATTATTACACGTGAAGAAGGACACCTGAAGAAGGCTCCACGGCCGAAACGTTGTGTTCTCTTTCTTCTTTTTTTTCAGCATGGAAAAAACCTATTACTTGTTCCTTTGCATTATTAGACGTGAGCGATCTGTGCAGTCGACGATGCGGGATTTAAATGATAAACATTTGTCTTTTATCGTTTCAAAACGTGAACGCAAAAGAATGATGAATAGTATGTTAAGATCCGAATCGTTCGTGATGAATGGTGTTTGGGAAGCTGACAGGCTGCTTGAGATGGAGACCAGGATCATGGGAGTGTTTCATCTAAATACCTCCCCCCATGTCTCAAGTGCTTTAGGATCCTTGGTGTTAAGAGCCTGATAGGGGTTTAATAGTCTCCACACAGCATGAAAGGACCGAGGTTTACATCTGTTTGCAGTCGCCACTCTTTCACACTAGAGGGCGCCCGGCGCACAGAAATCATCTATAGCAAGATGGTCTAGAGGAGCAACAGCTCGCCATTCAGCAAACTGATCTCCGCGGCGAGGTCATTTAAAGACTGTTTTTGTCCCAAGAGGGTTTTTTAGATGAGTTTGTTCTTGGCTGTTGGAAGGCGCTGCCGCTCTGCCGCTCGTGCTCTTGCGCGTGACGGGTCTCGCGTGACGGAGCCGTGTTGTGTGTGTGTGTGCAGCTGCGACGCCAGGCCCGGCTGCGGAGGGAGTACCTGTACAGGAAGGAGCTGGAGGACAGGGCGCGCACCATTGATGAGAAGAAGCAGCGGCTGAAGCAGGCGCTGGACGGTGAGACCCTCCGCACGCTGGGATCTTGTCTTCCTCTGCCCTTGACCAACACACGGCGGCCATCGTCCGCTCGCCAGCGTGGGGCCGTGTGGAGATAGGAGTCCTGGAGTCTGAAAATACTTCTCACATCAAATTTGTGTTCATTTCTTTATATCTGAGCACTGCTGAGTGCTGCCGGCAGCCTTCGTCTCTGTGCAGAAGGTTTCCGCTGGCGCTTGGTGCTTCACTCACAGGATGGTATTTAAGAAGCACTGCACACTTTGCATTTCCTTTGCTGACTGACTGCAGAAGGCAAAGTGTGGCTGGTGTCCTTAATTGGGTAGAAAGATGGTTTCTCTTCTGCCTGCTTGTGTCATCTTTTCCTGTGCCTTCGCAGTCCGCAGGAACATCCTGACCGAGTGACTCAAGCTTCTCCCTCGTTGCAGAAAACCGACTGATCCCCACAGAGGTTCGCAAGGAGGCCCTGAAGCTGCAGAAGCTGACCGAGTATGACGATGAAGGGGCAGAAGGTGAGGAGGTGGGGCAGGTGGATTCTGGCGCCCCCTGCTGGGAAAGACGACCTATGCTGTGCCTTTGCCTCTGTGTCCCCGACAGCTGTAAATTGGGCTGGTTGGTTGGGCAGTTATTGTGCTGCTGTCCAGTCCCATGCTTGTTTCATTAATAACTACTTAGCAGCAGTGTTGAGAGTCCTGGACTCATGACTAGAAGGCTGTGGGTTCAAATCGCTCTTGTACTGCTGAGTTACTGACTTTACCCAGATTGCTCAGGTACAAAATACCCCATTATACAGTTGGGTGCAAATAGAAGTCAATTTGGCTAAAAAAATCAGGCAGATTAATTATTAGTACTAGACCTGCATTGCAATGGAAGAGGATACCTCAGAGTAATACCCCATTGTGTATCAAAAGTTAATAATATATAGCTTAGAATTCTATTTATAAGCATCTTTAGAAGCTCAGGTCTCTGAAATTCCAATGCCTTGGTTCCACGCGAACTAGCCCACTTGACTCATTCTTATTCTTGATGGGCAGTGTTTTTCTGAAAAGTTGCTCTGTAAACTGAGCCTCTGCCCAGTGCTGAACACAATTGAAAACTCGGCCTCCCTCCAGGTGTCAACTCGCACATGGATGACGAGTACAAGTGGGCCGGAGTGGAGGACCCCAAAATCATGATCACCACGTCCCGGGACCCCAGCTCCCGGCTCAAGATGTTTGCCAAGGTTGGTGACGCGATGGAGCCGCGCCGAGCTCATCGCATTCAAACCCGCTGCGCCGCAAAACAGGGGGCTTGTCTGGCGCTGCTGAAATCCAAGCCTCCAGAGCGAGGCGCGCTCGAGAGGGGGGGGGACCCCAGCACCTCTGTGTTTCTGGCGCCATGCGTCAAGCAGTGACTGGTGTGCATCGTTGTACCGCAGTGGGGGGTGTTGTCTCTCTCTGAGGGGCTCTGCGGAGGTGTGACTGCTCACCCTGCCCTGTGCCCCTGCAGGAGATGAAGCTGATCTTCCCCAGCGCCCAGCGGATGAACAGGGGAAACCACGAGGTGGTGACGCTGGTGAAGGCCTGCAGGGCCAACGAGGTCACCGACCTGGTCATCCTGCACGAGACCCGGGGGCAGCCAGGTAGGCGTCGCGGGGGGGGCAGTGTTGCCCCAGAGGACCTGGAAGCTGCAGGCTGGTTCCGGTACGGCGCGGGGTGCTGCTGCACGCCTCCCCCGGGCCCCAGCTGTCTTACCGCTCATGGTGGAGAGTCGCTGGGGGGAGTTCCTAAGCCTGAGAGCTGTGGCCCCGGTGCCCAGTGTGTGGGCGTGTTTTTATATCAACATCAGCTGCTCGGCCAGCTGTGCTGGAAGTTTTATTAACCGCTTTCTAGGTTCCCCCGTTAAGCAAGTATCTTTCTGAATTGGGTGTGAGCAGCCAGTTTCTTAGATCGCCAGGAGCGCTGTCCCGTCTCCAGTCAGCCACGGAGGCGGCAGGCTTTGCAGCATCGGGTTGTAGCTGTAGTTCCTGTAAAATCACATCGGCCTTTTGAGGTGCAGGTGTCGGAGTCGGTCAGATGTTTTGTTATCCAGGCTCTGGGGGAGAATACAGGTCTTTTTTATAAACATCAGGTTAGTGTGAGTGGAAACATTCCTGCTCTGCTCTGTGCAGTGAAGATCACTTTAATAATTGAGGATCACATTAGCTTTGCCTGCCCCGGCTGTTTTGTGCGAGCAGCGAAGCCGCTCTGTAGTGGAGTAGGACGTGCCTGGACACCCCATGCGTGGGTGGGACTTTCAGAGAGACGCCTCTGCTGTGCAGAGCAGTGGCCACAGGTCTGCTGCCTCCCCCTGGCTGACGTGCCCTCTCTTCTCTCTGTGTGTCTGCGTCAGATGGGATGATCGTGTGCCACCTGCCCTTCGGCCCCACTGCCTACTTCACCCTCTACAACGTGGTGATGAGACACGACATCCCCGACATCGGCACCATGTCCGAGGCCTTCCCCCACCTCATCTTCCACAACTTCACCTCCCGCCTGGGCAAGAGGGTACGGATCCGAAGGCTTGCTTTTAAAGAGTTTGTTAGAGAGCAATTTGCAATCTGCAGTTTCCCTCACGGGATCAATAAAGTATCTATCTAGAGAGAAGTCTGTGACTGAGCTGAATAGTAGTGTTATTAGTTTAATTTTTAATCAGGGCTAAAGTTTTTTCTGTTAAAAAGGTTGTGAGATCATTCAGTGTAGATTTTAAGGTTAAGAACATTTAAAATCAAAGGCTTTGCCCTTTTCAGATGGCAGATTTTTTTGTTGCTAGCTGGCGAGTGCTGGCAGACAGAGTTGTTTCTCTGTTCCTGGAGCTCTGCACGAGTCGCTGTCCCAGCACAGCTGCAGGCCAGACAGGCCTCTGAGGGGACAAGCAAGGACAGAGCTGTGGTCTCAGCCTCGGCTCTCTCTCCACAGGTGTCCGATATCCTCAAGTACCTGTTTCCAGTGCCTAAAGACGAGAGCAGGAGAGTCGTCACCTTCTCCAACCAGGAGGACTACATCTCGTTCAGGTGAGCGCTGTCCCGGGGCCCTGCTCCGGCTGAGAGTGTGGGATTGGCTGGGGAGATTCTGTTTCCATGTGGTGTGGTAGCAAGCTGCAGAACTGAGCGACAGGGAGTGTCCCTTTCTTTTTCAAATGTGTGGATTTGACATGATTCCTCAAGAAAGCCGTTGTCTCTCTCATTGCCTTCACTCTCAGTCTGAGGGAGATCCTGTGGTCAAGACATCACTTCATTCTTTTATCAAATGAATTTCTACACACACAGAATTTTTCACACCCGAGTGTATGGCGTTTCCTCACCGGGACCTTAGTCCCATCAGGTTAGTCCTCCATAAATGCCCTGTGTTGTGTGGCCTGGGCGTCTCTCACCTGACAGAGTTGCCCTTCTTATGGCCAGTGTTAATCCTGGCTGCTCTGCTTTCCTATTTCTGGTGTCCCTCTCGGAATCCAGGGCAACATCGGGGTCCCCTGTTGACCTCAGTGTTGCCAAGAGAGCACCCAGCCCATTCTTAGTGTCTGAGACCTGGATGGCCAGGAAATCTCTCCCTTTTCCAGTAATGGACAACAGGGTGAAACTGGTATAATTGTGTAACTCCATAATGGTGTAACTGGGCTCCCAGACCTCCAGACACTTCCCAGCTGGCTCCGTGCTGCAGTTTGCCTGGCAGGGCCTTTGAGTCAGTCAGTCTCACCGAGAATACAATCTGCTCCCTGATCTGTCTGATCTAAATAGGCGTTAGTGCCTCTTGAGTTCAGAGCCAGAAGACGTCCATGTCCCTCATGTATAAAGGCGCACGCGTGAAATAATCTCTCGCTTTGTTCTAGGCATCATACGTACAAGAAGACGGACCACAGGAA